TTTCTAAATCGCATTCGAGACATGCTTTAAAGGTTAAAATAATCGATTATATTTAAAACCAATTGCACACTATTTTTTTATGTGTAAATATTCATGTTTTGGATTTTGGATTTTGGATACGACGTCTAAAATCTGTCTCAAAGCAACATTTGGGTATGTATAAACCAAATGCACAATATATTAATTATCGTTTTCTTTTCTTTTCTTTTCTTTTTCTTTTTCTTCTCCATCAATGATTTTCTTTTTTGCAACATATTAAATTAGCACACACAAAGAATGTTTGCATTTCTTTTATTAAAATATATTTTAGACGTTTATTAAATAATTACAAAAAATTTAAAATATATATAATTCAGAAGTGGTAATTTTAAATTAAAAAATAGCATTATTGCCAAAAAGTAGGAACGAAATATTGTTTACTTCCTTACTTATATCAATGCAATCAGATTATTATTGACATAATATCATCAGATCAACTTAATTTACAAGTCTAAATTACAAACTTCTGAGCAACAAAAAAAAAAGTTGTAATTTTGGGAGTCATTTTAACCACAAACAGACCTTTTTGAGGCATTTTGTTGTTGATTTTAGTGAAATAACCGACTCATTTTATAAAATTAGATTTAGAAGAAGAAAAAAACTAAGGTTGGTATTTGATCAGCTATATCACGAGTTAAAAGGTCTGGAGTGGACACTCGTATAAACTAACTACAAACTGAGATCGTTTAACGACATGACGAGGGTCAAGAGGGTTGTGCCCCTGCCATCAAGTCCTAAAAGTTATAATGCATAGTATCTTAATAAAAATAAAGGAAATATGAAATGTAATTAAAATTAAATGCCATTCTTTGAATAGGTTGAGTTGAATATCTCGACATAGAAAATATGTTTGATCAAATAAAGTGATATTAGGTGACAGAAGGTACTACTAAAAGAACTCATAATTTCACTTAAAGAAAAAGCCAAACCTTTTTGAAACTAAATACCATCTTTAATTCCAATTCATTTTAACCATAATATATATATATATATATATATATATATATATATATAACATGAGAATAGGTCACAAATCAAATGTTTAAAAATCATTTTGCCCAAAAAAACATCGTTAATTATCAAAATTCAAACTCACCTAAAAAACATGGCTGCGATCCGATCGCTCGTCCGTTAAGTGACACAAAGAATCAAATGCATCTTATAATAATGAACCCATATACGTCTAATTTTTACAGTCAACTAAATACGATGCATTTATTAGTGGAGTTTATTGTATAATCCATAAGTTATTGACTTAAACTTACATAATATACAATTGATTAAATATTTATATTGTGATATACATTTAATTATGTGTTTAAACTAAAAAAATAATATGCATAGGTATTGAGTTTGGCATGTTCCTAGAGTGTGAAGAAGCAATAGGCACCACACGTTTGAATTTAACAAGAGACAAAAATATGCCATAATAAAACAATACACATTTAACCTAATGATATAATATTCTCTCCTTGCATCAACGCATATTAAGCCTATATTCTCGCGGGAGCCATCTTTGATACATCTTTTTCATCATCATTTATATATATATATATATATATATATATATATTTAAAAACTTTGATTTTTGCAAGACGAAGTTGGACCATTTCAAAATAAAGTCAATTGGCAGTACTTAGAAAGACAAGACATATAAATATAATAATAAATCAAATCCCATTCAATAAATACAAATAAATTATTTCTACTCATTTTCATTTTTTTTTTTTTCTGTAGAGTAAGAAACCCTAAAATCAACGGTCATTAACTTAACTGCAAGAGAAAGAATACTGATGTTGTCGAATTTTGTTAAGTTTGAATTTATCCTTTGAAATTTTTTTGCATATACATGAATTTGTATAATCAATTCATTGTTTTTCAAGTAAGAGAGGTTACTTGTTGTAGCATTGATAAATTCTATCATAAATTTTGTTTCTTGAAAAATCTTGATCGTATATTTATATGAGCAAAAAGCCTGAAAACCAGTTTATTTCTATGTAAGTACAAGATATTATTTTGTTGTAACAAGTTTTATACGTTATTAATCTATTAGTTTTTTTTTTAACCTTGCTTTGTAAAGTATAAATTTTCAACCACAAGAGTGGTGTCTGATTGGTTTGAGCTTGTCTTCAAAGATTAAAAGTACCTGAAGGTCCCAGATTCAAATCCAATGAGGAATAAAAATCTCCTTTGTGGCCAGGCCATCTGCAAGGCAGGTGGTCGTCCTGGGATTAATCGGCTCGCATAGCGGGTTGGATATCCAGGTTAATAAAAAAATATATATAAATTTTCCCTTAGATAATCTTTTTACAAAGACCTAACCCTAATTAATTAACAAAAATTCATATAAACTAAAAGATAATGAATAATAGAAACCCTAAAATCTAATAACCCTTTTTTGAATAAAGCAACTTGGTTTTCCTGTATTTTTGTCTTGTCAAGAAACTTCTTTCTATTAGTATATTATATACATTTACATATATGTATATATATATATATGTATGTATGTATATTAATAATGTATGCAGGAAGATGGATGGATGGATGGATGCATGTGTGCATACAGTTTGCATAATGGTCATGTCATTGTCTGCAGAGCATGATGTCTTGGTATGTGTGTGCAAACACACCACAGAGTATGTGCGAGAAGATCGATGGGAGGATGGAAAACAATCAATGATTTTGCAATCCATTGCTTGATGATTGACTCCTCGCTGACTGACCACAACTCATGTGTCCCCTCTGTGTTTTGACCTATTTGTATTTTAATTCTACACTTTACTTCATTTCATTTCATTTCATTTCATATGTTAATTTAATTTCCTTGCAGCCTTTTGTTTTCTCAGTCTGTTCTGTGGGTTCCAACGCTCCCATTCACATAACCCCCTCTTTTATTCCCTTCACCATTTTTTTAATGCAACTAAAAACTGTTTTCTTTTTACAGAAAACCCCAAAATTCATAAAAACAAAATCCTATTACATAACACGTATACTCGTCTCAACCGTTTGAAGTTGATATTTTCTTTCAAATGGTTGTTCATCGTTCGAACATGCTTCTAAATTAAAAGTATCCCACAAACGTACGTGTTCTTAACGTCTTCCACACGATCTATATATATATATATATATATATATATATATATATATTGAAATAGTTAAGAAGGAAGGATGTATGGTAGGTAGGGTGGTACCAGTTAATTAAATTGAAAATGGTAGCAGGAACAGGAACAGGAATAGGAATAGGAAGAGGAAGAATGGTTGGCATTAAACATAGAGAGAGGTAGTTCTAGGAACGTGGGATATAACATAAAAAGTGAAAATGACCATATCAACCTTTATTACCATTTTTTCTTCAACCCACCTCCCCACCCCACCCCTCTGGTCATGTCCTTTTCTCCCCGGCGATCAAGGGTCGCTTTTTTATTTTTATTTGATGTTTTTTAAGCTAAAATAGAATATAAAAAAATGGTGTAGAAAATTAAGTTATAAAGTTTTGTATGTCAAAAGTTGTTTTTAGAGTAATTTGGAGATTTTGGGCAACTTTTCTTTTTAGTAGATAATTAAAAACTCTTTTCTAAAATGAAGAAAGTAAAAGAGAAGATGTGAACCACAAGGGTGGTGCTCAATTGGTTTGAGCTTAGGCTTTGAAGATCAAAAGTGTCTGGAGATTTCAGGTTCGAATCCGAGGAGAAATAAAAATTTTCTTGTGGCCACGGAGGTTCAAATGCAGTGACTTTGGGCTATCCGTGAAGCAGGTGGCCGCTCTGGGATTAGTCGGCCCTTGTAGCGAGTTGGATATCCAGGTTAATTAAAAAAAATGATGTGAAATTCTTTAAATATAAAGAACTTGGTAAAAATGATTACTGTGAGAGAGAAATATTTTTTATTATATTTTCATCAAAAAGAAATCTTGAAATTAAATGTTAATGAAAGAAATAATATTTTACTAAATTATGGAATATTTATTAATATTTTATTTTATTCTGGTTTGATTTTTGTTTCGTTTCCACCTCTTGCAAAATCCTTTGTTTTTCCTTGTTTGTCGTGAGGGTTTTAATCTTTAAAATGAAAGGGCCGTTGAAATTGAATGTAATTTTTTTTGAAGATTTTAAATTTTAATTATGTATTCTTTTTTACTCGAACCTGGGAAATCAAAATTATTTATTTTCTATTTAAATTTTTTATTTATTTTTTGAAAAAATATAACATGTTTTCAAATACAACTCAGCCTTTTACATTACAAAAACACAAATTAAACAAGACCTGAAAGAATTATTGAAATTTTGTACATTTTTTAGAAAATAAAATCATGTCTAATTAATAAAGCATCCTTTTATTCCATTTTTGCTAACGTTTCTTTAGTAATTCAATAAACCATATTCAAATATAACTTTTAATTTGAAGTTGTTACTTAAATCTGTTTACCAATAAGAATTTGATGATTTGGGCTGGGCCTTTGCTATGAGTGAGCCCAAAATGTTAGGCCTCGTGTTTGCATAAATATATAAAGAGGTTTATGAAACTAGTATAGCCTTTTCACATAGGCCCCTTACTGGGCCTGCCCTAATGAATATGGTGGGCCAATGGATTGGACTAAAGTATTGGGGGCCCAGATGCAGACGTAAAAACATCATTCATAAACTGCAGGATCATGCAAGAAGTCAATTATATATGATATTAAAACTTTATGTCTTCTTGTAAAATGTTTAGTTTCTCATTTAATCGATGTATGTATTCCTATAATTTGATGTAAACAATCTATGATTCGACCAAAGACTGCAAATGGATAAATTTGGATGGAAATGTTGACCAAGAGAAAAACAATGTGATGCTGAGATTGGAGAAAAGGCGTAGCCCAACTCTTAAAGGAATGGCTGAGTGGCAGGAGGAAAGCAACTGGATACCTGTTTCGCTTGCCTTCTAAGCCAAAGAAAGAGAAAATCCTTAAAACACAAGATTTTGGTGATAAAACTAAAACTGTATCTTGATTGTTATTGATGTAGTCCATTGCTACATAAAGAATAAAGAACCCCCTACAGTAAGGGAAGCAGCAGATTTCTGAAATTAAATGACAAAGAGGGTTCGATGGTACACGGTACCCATTTTACCTCCCAACAAAATGTACATCAAAAGAAACCGCTAATCGAATCCTTGGCAACCTACTTACCTAAAAAGAACCAGTGAAAAGGATCTCCTGCCCAAGTCCTTAATACAAACTCGGCCTGAGAATTGATCACCGCAGTGCCAATTGCCCCAATTAGAGGCCTGCACAAAGAATATGTTTCTGTTTCATCTACGAATGTAGGTTAATTTGCTGCTCCACGACTAAAAATGGCTGATGTAGTTTTTCTCTGTGTTGTTAGATCTTAGAAACCCCAATTGAATCCAAGTTAGCAAAATCAAAGCTCTATGAAGTTTGTTTGTATTCAAAGGAACCTGTGCTCTAATCCTGTAATTGACGGGCCTTTTACTTTAAGTCGCTTTGGGCAAGTTTCTAGAGGCGGTCGTTCCCGTTCCCTTGTGCCCTTTCCCTGTTTGTAAAACCCGTGATCTCTTTGATGTTCCCCATGCTTACTCACAGCTTCTTTGTTTCCCAATTTCTTGTAATTGACGGAGATGGAAGTCATGGTTCCTTTGCCAAATCTTTCTTTTGACACACAGTCTTTGCCAGTTATCAAATACCCAGGTGCTGAACTATGCCCATATCTTTCAGTCTGTACTTTCTTTAACCGCTTAAGCCCCTGTTCAAACATGAAACTCAGGTTAGTAATACTACCTGAAGCATGAAAAATTCGAGCAAATATAATTCTCGATAATTCATCTTCGTTCGACGGCTCAAAACTCAGATAAACTCAGTTGCATATTGTACTGATTTCATAAAGACCGACACAGGACCTACTACCAGTGAGAGGCCATTTGTATCATCATAATATCTCTCGACAAGTTGATTAGAAGTTGACAAAAACAAAATAGATATAAACGAATTTGATCCACAAGAATCTTCATTACCTGATGTTCCAATTTAGAAGGGACGGAATTGGTTGCATTTCTGTGTTTTGACTTTAAGGATGAACGGCGTTTGAACCTAAATATCTCCGAGTCAGAGTCATCACTATAATGACATGTCCTTTTGACATCCACATGGATATTGGATCGAGGAGATTCATCAATGATTGGTGAAGCTTCATGCATTTCCGTAGCCATGTCTTTGGAAGAATTAGTAGGCACGAGATTCCTTGTACTAGAACCAGTATCGCCCTGTAACTGTCGAAACAAAGTTTGATCAGGTTTACATCTTAAATCTAGAAGCAGAGGAAGATTCGTATATCCATTTTAGAACAAGCAATTTGTTTGAACTTACATGGTCAAGTAAGAAACAAGTTTCAGCAGTATCCATGATCTCAGGAACAGACTGCTTCAAATTGCAGTTTGGATCAAAATCAATCTTGCAATATGGATCGTATTCGTCTTCTTCAGTTAGTGGATACAATTTAGATAACAGAATCATGTTGGTTCCATTACTAATTTGTTGTTGAACCTCATGTACAATATCGTTATCCTCCTCAAACATCCTCGAAACCACCTCCATATCCAAGAGTTCCTCCCTTACAGAGAGTGTAAAGTTGTTTCCACAAGGCAAGTCAAGTGGCTTAAACTCTGAAGCCAATCAAGAGATACCAAAGTTAAAAGAAAGGCTCGTGTAGAAACTAATTTAGATAAAATAGTAAGTGATGTTCCAATATACCATGGCAAAGACACACGGGATGTAAATAGCAGTTGCAGTTGATATATGCTACATAACAGTCACGTTTGCAAACACTGCAAAGAATGGTTCCATGAGAATGTTGAGAAACACCCATGCACCCTCTTGATCTCATTAGGCACCAACGAGCACGATGTTGGAAGCGTATCAAATTAACAAACGAGGCTTTAATGCTAATTTGAGAAGCTAAATCTGTAGAAGAATAGTTCAAATCTTCATAGTCCGTAGCTGATGAAAGCAGCATTGCTTCTTTGCACAGAAGTTCCTCATGAGGAAGGAGAGGTGTCCGATTAAGAAGTGCATAACGACGACTGGCTATTGATCCCATCAGGAACCAATCACCGATGGCAAAATTTACAGCCTCACCACAATTAAAACCTATAACATACCAAATTCATAAAATCAGTATTCTAAATTATATCTGAATTCGGGAAGAGGAGCAAAAGAAGCAACAAATCTTACAGGCAATAAAGAAAATTCTTTTGGGAATTTTCAAATCAGAACAAGAAAAATAATATTACCATGACTAAATCCTGCATGATATGCTCGGGGGAAGGTCACTACATATTCCCCAGGCTTTTGCACAGCTTTATAAACTGGAACACCATGTTGTGACAAAATATTAGGAGGAAACAAGGTTGTCTTCCCTAAGAGAACATCGAAAGCACCATCTTCCCCTTCAGTTGATAGAATATCATGAGTGTACACCTTTTGCCGCACAACCTTTTCAAAATCTAGTGCAGCATGACCAGGAACACCATACCAGGTTTTTGCAGCTCCACAATGATGGTAATTAATGCTGTGACAAGTGAAATAACAGGAGAATATAATGTGACGATTTCGACAAGCATAAAGTGATGAACATACATGATACAACAAAGTAATATAACAAATTACGTACCTGTATAAGTAATGATCTTCTACATGCCAAGCGAACATACTGAATAGCATCCCTATGTAAAGCATTGGTTCAGTAACCCCCTGTAATCATACAAACATTGGCTAAGAAAACAAAACATGCCAATTGTAAAATATACTCGCAATCAATGAAAAAAAACTGTCTGAATACCGGAATTGTTGTTTCTAGCAGACGCAAGATCGATCTGGACAATCGCGCAACTTTCTGAAATCAGAAAAGTGAACAGCAAGATCTTAGTTTAATAGAACATGCAGAAATAAGAAGCATGCAAGAAGAATCATGTTGCTAGTACTGATATATATATATATATATATATATATATATATGAAATCAGTTGGGGAATAAGAAAATCAACAAAGGGAGCAAAATCCAAACTAAAAGAGATTGCACAAATAAAAAATGAGGCTGGTGTTCGGGAGAGAAGGAATTAAGGAACGATGAAATACCAAAATCTCATAATTTAGCACATAAGAAATTAGTCTATTGACATTCGGAAAAATAAAAACATTGTCAGACGTTGAGAAAAAACAAACAAAAATGAATTTAACCATAGTCACCGGTAGTCAGTGAAGTAACAAGACCACACGGTAGATGCAAATGTACATCATGCCTGTGTGTATATGATAAATAGACACATACAGAGTAGGAAGAGAAAGACCAAGAGAGAGCAACAAGCTAAATGACCGAATAAAATCAAACCTTCAAATTCCATTTGCTATTTCCAAGTTGATCGTTCGGAGAAGATGAAAATGCACTGCCGTCAACATCACATGCATACTCAACGCTTTCGGTCTTTCCACAAGCTATTTCATGCCAAAATTCTTTTTCCATGTATGTAGCCGGAAGACATCCAGCACTATAATATCTACGAGCAAAAACCTTGTTTGCCATTTTCTCAAAATCACGAAAAGTATAGTTTCTGATGAACAAAAAACACCACTCAGATTCTGAAAGAGCATATAGAAAAGTAAATTGACAATATATGGAAACCCACCTTCCACTCATGAAAAAGGTGACCTTATCATCAGTGTTCCACTCAGCAAGACGAAGAGGCTGCACTCTTGTAGTAAACCTGAAACCAGCTTTCTCTTTCATCAAAACCATGCCAGCAGGAACAGAGGCACTCAAAGGCGAAACAATTTTGCATATACCTGAAAATTTTAAAAGGATTCAAGGAAAGAATTTACACACTATTCATGTAGTACAAGACTCAAACATGAAGTTAGAAAGTTCAGTTGAACAAAGTAACGGTACTATCAATTAGTGAAGATGCAATAACTACACAGCAGCAACATGTTAAGATGAGCAGAGTAAAACACTAATATCAACATTTAGAGAAGGCCTATCACATTAGGGTGGTAGAGTTGAAATCTTTAGTTGAGAGTGCTTTCAGAAGTTGCTTCTCAGCTGATTATTCCAACACCCTTGCACTTAAAAGCCATTCATACTTTAGTTTACGTACAGATCCATCGTTAAATTTTACCACACATAATTCTCTTAAAATTTGACTGGAATGCCGGCAGAAAATGTATCCTCTATCAAATCTATAGCTACCAGCAGCAGTAAATGTATTATGTGTCTAACAGGTTGATGCATCAGAAGCTGAGAAAATATTGCAAATTAGTGAACATACTAGCAGGCAGACATACCGATTTCGGAGCATGGAGAGATACAATCCCATTTTTGCCAGGAGAACGAGAACATGTAGCGTTGTATATTAGATATCGTATATATAAAATCTCGCTCAAAGACCACACTAAGTCCTATACTTGATAGAGAACATAAGATTTCAAAAAAAATGTAGAGGTAGCCATTTGCAAATTACCAATTCAAGGCAATGACTGAACATGCACAAACATACATAAATTAATGCCATAATTGATATCATAAACAACAAGAACAATTGACTAATGAGAAGGAACTAAGCATTACTGTTTAACAAATTCCATTTGGATCGTTTGATGTATGACATATATGTAAAATTTCTAATTAAAGTAAACCTCTGATCTTATTAACATCTAATTAGCCATTACCATATCTTGACGCTTCTGGGGCTATTTTCTGAAGATATGCCAAAGGATCCTCAAAATCTTCCTTACTTGGAAAATATACTGGGCACTCTGGCATCCTATCTGTCCAATCGAGATCGGTAGTGTCAAACTTCTCAACCTTTTGCTTTGACATGGTATCTCTCCCATTCACAACACCACCAGATCGTGCATGTATATTTGGATTGCCGAATGATCTCACACCGCAGGACGCGGAATCTCTTAAAGCATCTCCACTGCTTCTAGTCATCAGGCTAGTCACACATGTAGTGTCATTTAATGTGCCAGCTTTCATCCGCTGAAGCCTCTTATGCTTCAAAAATTCTAGCTTTTCCTCTCTGGAGAAACAAATCCTTCCTTCCCCCTGGAAAAAACTAGAATATAAGTCCGCAATTCTAGTCCTTGATCATACATCATTGTGGATAGCGGTTCTCAATCGTAAAGATTATCAACACAGGTCGCAATTCAAAGCTGACAAAAAGTATCTACAAATATTACACAGCAAAATCCTCGTTTGTTTCAGAAAATTCCAAATATTATTTCGTACATTACATATGAACTATGATTATCATTCAATATCTTCATCAAGAATTTAGCTTGAATTGAATCTACCTCGACCCTTGAGTGTAATACCTTGGAGGTTACATTCAAATACTCTTTCCCCTTTACCTACTCAAGAAAAATATCTCTTTCAGTGTGTTAACTTGACAATGAATGCTGAACAAAGTGAAACTGACTGCACAAAGAAAATCCACAACAAATTACTTTGTAAACTCAACCAAGCTTTAGCCCACCAAATGTAACAGTTATAGACCAGCTCACGACATAGCAGTTGATACAAATATCAATATAGAATTAGCCTATATCTACTAAGTTCTCTTGTATGCTTCTCTAGAAAAGGCCATAGCTGTTAATTGAAATTTTACATCGCTCCTTCAATTTATTCCCGTAAACAACTTCACCCTTTAGTGAAAATTAGAAGTATATCTTCCACAAAGTTCAACAGGAACCAACGAATTCAACTAATTGAATGTCAAGCAGCTCCATAAAAAAGGTTCTCAACAAATTATTAACAGAAACCATATAGATGAAAAGCAAGTGAACAATATATCACTAGAGAGAAAACAGTCAAAGAAATAAGGATAAATAAATAAGCAAGTTATATAACTCTAATACGCCAACAAAGTTAAAATCATCATTCATCCAACAAAAATTACGGTTCTAAATTGAGAGTTCCAATTACAGAAGAAAAAAAAAAAGACAAAGTGCCGATTGAAAGAACTTTTTGAATTTTTATTAGTTTTCAGAACAAATAGCCGTGAAATTGAATAATAAGACTAAACAAATACCTTCAGGAAATTTTGATTTAGGAAACTGAAATATTCACACACAAAAATAACATAATGCCATTGATTTTAGGAGACTCGTTATTCTCCCAGAATAAATACTCATATAGCAACATAGTTAAGAATATATTTAGAAAATTTTGATGACGTAATTTACCATCTCATTCCAAAGTTTGTCGCCGGAACCCTCCGTCTTTTCTTACTTCACCAAAACCATACAAACGAAATTGAAGAAACAAACGCAACGATAACAAATCCCAACCCTAGATCACGATCTCAGTCATTATGTCCGGCACATTCCCTTACAGAAACCACCGGACGAAGAGATCGGAAGATTCAACCGGTTAAACTCTGTAATCTCGGAAAACCGCACAATGACAACACCAATAGTCCGTGTCCGTTTATGAAATCGCACTTATTCAAAATAGCTCCTCCACAACGAACTCCGGAAGTCAATACCGTCTTTATCGGCGAAAACCGAACAGTTTTCCGGCCGTCTAGAGAGAGAAAGATTTGGGAGAGAGAAGAACAGTAGATGAAATCCAGAAGGGAGGGTAAGGCTTAGAAAACCGAAAAAGAAGAAAGAGAGATAATTTAGTTGTGTTTATTTTATAACTTATTTTTTGGTTAATTATAAATTCTTTATTTATATCTAGATAATTAAAAAATAAAAGAAAAAAGAAAAGGCAAAATGAGTATGAACCATGAAGGAAAGTGGTGGTTAGGTTTGTTCAACCAAACGCACCCTTTGCCGCCTCAAAACGTGTCGTTTTGTAGCTGAATTGAATTTTTCCCAAACTACCCTTGAATCAAGGCTTTTCTTAACCTCCAAAAAAATCATTTTCATAAATAAATTAATAAATTTGTGTTGAAATTTAAATAAATAATTATATTTTTAATACAACTTAAAATTAAAAAAATTAATCCACTGGCAATAAAGAAATATATCTTTGATGTATATGTATACTGATACATATTTATTTTTCTTCAGTAATTAATTATATTCAGATGTCATGTTTTTATTATGTTCTTTCAAATGAGACATGCATTTTGGATCAAAATTTATGTTGTAAAATGTTTTGATCCCTCGTTGAAATTATATTATCGAATTTTTGAGTTGCTAAAACAGATAAATTTGAATACAGTTGTTTGAAACACAGACCGTAAGGATCTTTACGGTATGAACTTTTTTTTTTTTATAGGGAGGGGGGAGACCCCTCCAGATCAAGGCAAAACACTAAAACGCTAAAAGCAAGACAAATAAACACTCGGGTGGGAGGTAAACCTCAACCACCAGAAAAAACCAAGGATACGGTATGAACTTTAATGCAGAATAGTTTTGTAAAAATAACCAGACAGTAGAAATTTTAGGTCAAAGAGTCTAAAATGGAAATCGTGCGTTAGCGATTAGATAATCATATCATATCCCTCAGCTAACATGGTTGGCGTGCATTCATATAACTTCAATTTAAGTTCGATTGGTCAGTTGTAGGTGAAACAACTTTTGATTATCTATACCTTATCCGAAGCACGATAGATATACTAATATGGTACCATAGAAATCTCTAAATATGGAGATGTAAGCAATTATGATGTCAACATAATGACACATGGCGATAGGGTAGATTAGCAGTCGGTTTCTAATGAATATACATTTGTTGTGATGCAAAATAAAACGGCGAGATATCGCTTTACTTTACGTAATCGCATCTTTATTATCAGTAATATAAATAAAAGAATTGACCAAATCAGTAAAAGAAGAATAAATCAAAACAGAACGTACTTGTTTTATCCTTTTTTGAAAAACATATTCTTCATAATTTCAATTTTTCAAAACGTATTATAATTATATTAGAAATGTACTCGTACAATGCAATTTTAATATAATTTAAAAAGTAATTTTTTTAATATAATAATTCTAATTTGTTTAAGGAAAATTGACTAAAATAATGACCAAATTCACTTTTAGTTATTTTTTCAATTAAATTTCATATATATATTTGAATATAATTTATTTTCTGAAAAGGAAAAAAAAGATCTTCATAAAATATTTATAAATAAGCAATATATTAAAAAGGACTAAAAAGTAAATTTAATTATTTTATTTATGTATTTAATAATTTGCTTAAATTGAGGGCGAAATATGTGGGTATCTTGAGTCGTGTAAATAGAGGCATGTAACAGCTGTACTTTGGAGTTTGGAGGTTGCCTCTAATCATTAGTTTTCAACAGTCGCTGAAAGCGACACTTTTTTCTTTTTCCAAGGGCTCCATGTGTAAATTCTACGTGTGAGTCGGAAGACACTGTGTTTTTCTCGGCTCGGCTTTTTGAAGGAGTCAACTATTTCAACGCGCTTTAGGCGGTCGTATTGGTTCTTTCTTTTGGCTTCGCTTGGCCCCTGGTCAGCCGACTTCTTTTCCTTCTTTCAGTTTTCCAGAGCTAAAATGTCTTGATCCAAAATCAATTTAACTTTATCATATGTAAACTATGCATTTAAAACTTGTACGTTGCTTTGGTTTTGGAATTTCAGTTGTGGCAAAGGCTTTTGATGGTATTGGTCTATGATGCTGAAATTAGGTCAACTGCAAAAGTAAGACAAAATATTTCCAAGTTTAAGATTGGTTGATTTTTATAATTATTGTATGGGGTCTTTTTTTCCCTTTTTATATTCAATATCAGCTCCATTAAATTTATAAAAAAATACTAAATACATATTTAAATTCACACACCTTCCTCGTCCTTCCTCGTATTTGGTGAGGTTTGAATGTGGTGACCACTTAAGAAGTCAAATGCTACGATACTGCTAGACCAAATGCCTTTTGGTATTTAATGGAATAAAAGTTACGTGAAACAAAACCTCGTGATAGAAGTTCTTTTGGATATGACAAATTTTGGAGTTCTCAGATTATTAAGTCCCTATGAGACACTGTTAGTTGCAACAAAATTTGATGGTATAAAATACTAGTTATTAAATTTAAAATAGTTGAACTTCTAATTTTTAATATATGTAAATAAAATATTTGAAATTAATTACGTGTTTCATTCCTTTTTTTATGAAATCAAATAGATGTCATCAAATCAAAGATACTGATAATTAAAGAAACATCAACATAGTGATGAAATCGCCCTACTTCCTCGATGAAATGGGAAATTAAAATATGATTCAGATTGATAATATAACGTCTTCATCTTGTGTGTTTTGTAGCTTTTGACGGAAATGCTTAATACTTTTTTCTTACACCGTTATCTCGAGTAAAATGTGCATGTTATTTGATGTTTCTTTCCTTATTTCCAATACAACTTATCTACTGGTATCGGTAACAACATATAAATGCATCTAACTTGAGGGGTTTTAGCTTAACAATATCCGATAACCGAATCTTTATAGGGGTCAAAGATTCCAACATCACCGGATTTATAGGGAAGAAAACAAAAACAAGAATTGTATGGAGAGATACTGTAAATGATCATTAAGATAAAGCACGAAAGAGCGGATAAAAGACCTTATAGAGAACGATTGAACATCAATCATAAAGTTGCTTCGAAATCCTAAATGACGACCCCACGCTAGCTCATAGTAGCATGAACATATTAGGACATGACACACACACACACACACAYATATATATATATATATATCACTTAATTGTCCTATCGTATTCTTGTTTCTTTTCTTTTTCGATGCTATAGGTATATATATATATATATATATATATATATATAATGTTAAAAAGACAAATTACGATGTTGGTAGATTCACCAACATAATCGCTTTATGTCCTCCTTTCAAACAATACTCGGGAGACAAAAATAGACTAAAGAAATGCTAATCATAAAAAAGTTTAGGGATTGTCGGGCCTTACATGATATATAATTATTCAATTCAAATCATTCTTAATTTCTGTTTGATTTTGTTTGGAAAGTGTTTGTGTCATGAATTAATATTTGCCCTTTGGATGTATAGTCGTCGAGAAACATCTGTTTGTTCTTCCACGGTTTACTCAACCTCCTTTAGATCCTTTTCATTTGATTTTATAAAAATATTTAGACAAAAGAGTAAAAAAAACGCAACGTTAAGTACGTGTTATGAAATTGGGTGTTTTTTCCAACTATCGCAAACCTTGAAAACTTTGTTACCCTTTATGGTGTGTTTTAGTTGAATCAAGTTCGAGTTTGCGCAAACTACTCAACCTGCTGTAAATTATTAAAAATCGAGCTTGAATCATGTATGACTAATATAAAAAAAAAAACTGAGGTTCAAACACGTTACATCAACAACTAGGTTTTAGATTCACTCCTATGGAGTCATATAAACTTGGACGATATTGAAAGCCTCAATAAATGCAAGCTTGTTTGGTATAGAATCGATATAATTTATGTACAGTTCTAATCATAACGTTTGAACAAAACCACAATTTGTAGCTCGTTGGGAAATGGATGATTAATTTAAATAATTACATTTAGTACATTTTAGAGATTTTGATTTGGAAGAATTTGAGATCTTTCGTGTGTTTGGTTTGTAGAATTTGAAATGAAATTGAATTTCATTCTTATAAATAATTATAAAAATAATTAAATTATATTTTTATTAATTGACGATTACAAAACAAATGCTTTTAAAACATTATAAAATTAATGATAATTTAGTAAATAAATGAGATAGAAGAGTGGGGGCTATTGGAGGGGGATGAGACTAGAAAGAGAGGCAGAAGCAACAAACGAAGAAAATAAATTAATAAGCACAAAAAAAAAAAGTAAGAGGACGTTTATTAAACGCTTATTTGGTAAGTGCTTATCGGATGAACATGACAAGGGTCAAGAATCTTACCGGATAAGATCAATGAGAATGATAAATAGTCTTATCCGGTAAGTAAAGATTACAACGCTTACCTAGGTAAACGTTTACCGATAAATTGTTGCATTCAATACGTTTTGATATACTAAAATCTTATGTATCAAAATAAATTATAGTGTTGACTTCTATATATAAAAAAATTTACCGGGTAAACATTTAAATAAACAACCACTAAATATAAGAAGGATGTACGGTTTTGACCAAGCTTCTATCATAACATAACACAACACTTCTCCCAACCCTTTACATTACAAACATATAAATGAAATATTAGAAAATATATTATGAATAAAAGCAATCTACTTTGTTTGAAACGATCAGTTTGACATGCTAAAACTGTACACGACGTCATATACCCTAGTTCAATAGTTTTTCAAATTTACCAGTCGATTTGACCAGTTTAATCCATGTTGGTCAAAGCGTGAACACCCCTAACCTTATGGGCTTCGAGTCCTTAAAATTCAATGCAATTAGGTTTGTGCCAAACTAATGCCCTTATAGTCTCAATCTCATATTTGCAATAGTCTCAAGTTTGCCAAACTTTACCAACTTACAACCTCTTACGAGTCTTTTAAGGAAAAATATTTATGTTGAAAAACATAAACTATAGGGGCCTTTATGTACTTATATAAAACTAAAAGGGTGGTAAGTAAACAACTTTTTTACAAATAGCATTACTTACCAAAACTTCTTTTTTCACTAAACAACCAAATAAACTTTCCCATATCAGATAGAAACATTGTATCTTATATGAAAATAAAAA